AGGTGCTTTTAAGGCGCGCGTGATTTTATCACTCAGTAATTTTCTTCTGGACCTTGTGAAACGGCGCCTCGTTGCTGATTTCTAATACTAACAAAGAAATGCTCCTACAATGCGCTTATCATAATTGTTAAAATTGCTTCGAATAATAGTTGTATTTCCAGACAGAGTTCAATCCATCCTGATTAACCCAAGCGAGATTAGCCGCATCTCTCACACCGAAAATTTGTTGAGCCTTTCCCTCTAGAAACTTTCTAGAACGACCCATGACTGTCTTGAAGGAGGAAGAAGTTGAACTTGAATAAGATGAATCTAAAGAAAAGCTAACTTGGGAGGGGCGTAAATACCGTAATCTTTGGACTCGCACCCGAACTCTGGATTAATCCTATAGGCAGCTCAAAGAGTCGAACTCGTGGGAATACTGGTAGATTCTGATTCGCCTCAAAGAGATAATTAGGATCAGTTAAAAAAAAAAAACTAACTGGCATCTTGCGTACCTTATGTTTTTTGAACGGATAACCCGCAGGATAAATGACATTCAAAGGCAGGGGGCTAGGGCTGCAAAATACCCTTGGTGGTGTAGCTTGAGGAATAGACTCTGACTCTAAACTACTAGAAATGACAATGGGTTCCCTGGACTTAGAAGGAACAAAAGTGCTTGGTCCAGCTCTTTCCTGAATATTGCTATGTTGGAAAGGAGCTCTGTACGTCGCGCGAGATCTATGACCTCGGCGAGATGAAGGTCTAGATCTCATAAAGCCATGAGATGTGGAACCTCTTCCATACCCCCTTAGTGTGGGAGGGAAAGTTCCAAGGAGATTGGCTTTCTTCCAAGGAGACATTCCTTCACCGAACAACCACATTTGTCGGTACTCGTAGACTTAACAGGCCTGAGTTTTGGGCTAATGGAATCAAATCTCTCTACCATTCTAGAATAAGAAAAAAAAAGTGATGTTTAGAGGACACTTTTGAAAAACAGTTAGAGTTATACTCAAGAAATCCAGAAATGTGAAAAGAGGAAACACAACCCGACACCCACTAGAAAAGATGAACAAAGAAAATGTAGGACAAAGGAATCCAAACTCAAGTCTAGACAAAAGCCCAGAAAAATCAACATGCAAAGATTTTAACGAAAATGAAAATGAAGAAAGCATACCTGTTATATAGGAGAAAAACTTGAACTTTGAAACAAGAAGAGCAGATAGCTCAGTCATGACCAACATGTCAAAAGAGGAAATCAGCAATGGAACAGGGATGATTGTGTTTTTAGAGATGAAGAACGAGGAAGGCAAATGAAGCAGCAATAGGAAATGAATTGTTCCCTCCAAAAGCCTTAAAAGATAAAAACTTAAAAAGTAACCGAGGGTATTTGGGTAAATAACCACAAAAGTGAAATAGTGGTAAAATGAAGTGGGACGCGTGTCAGCCTATGGGGCAAAGGTTAATACGTTAACCCACATGTAATAAAAGAAGCATTAAAAATAGATCAAAGTCAAATCAATCGTTTCTTAAGCGGCGAAATGACTGATTAGCAACGCCCACTCGAGTGCAAAAAAGCAAATGTGGTATCAGTGAACTTATGTGAATGACATAACACACATCTCGCATGGATATACATCTCGCTATTCACGTTTCCAGTACAAGCAACAAACTGGAGGACTTCTGATCTGGACCTAATATATACGAGATGAAGGCTTAATCCATTAGAGGCTTAGAAAGCCCAAGAACTGTAAACTTAACCCTGAAAGAACTGAGTCCATTCTGCGTATGAACCGTGGGCATCTCGCCTACTTGGCTAACAAGCCAAAATGACTTAGTAAGCAAGGAAACATCATTGGTGAGATCAGCAACTCATGCACATTCTAATCTGCTTCTCAATTATTGAGTGACATCATACAGGTAGAGTGTTGTGCAATTTTGCAATCAAATATATTAATCACACAAATGCACAAGTGCACGTTTCACAAGTAATAAAGGGATGTGTTAAGTTCAAGATGGTTCCCACGAAGACTAAATAAAGCTACGGCTCTCTATGAAGCAATGAGAGTAACAACAATGATTATGACTAAACCAAGATCTAAACTAATAACTAATAATTAAATTAAGCTAAAGCTACTGATTATCTACAAAAATACAATTAAAAAGATAAGTTTCAAGTATCAAAAGGTAGATTGGGATCGATTTCTCCAATATTGTAACTTCACTAGAATGCAGTAACAATGTTATGGCAATCTTCCATTAGTAATCATATCATTTGTGTATGCAGGGGCTCTCACAAACCTTACATGTATACTAGTTCCCATGTCTCTATGGCTAAACTAATTATGGAATTCATTAAGTGCAAGTTCCATGTGGTTTGTGGTGTGAATGATTTCTCTATCCACACTTAACTAAATTAATTAGTTAATTTCATAATGTTTAATAATTTTTCGGATTCACCTATATCTCTATAGCCCAAATCCATAACATTTGCAGCTCTCTCTCGATAAGTCAACAAGATTGAGGAAGATTAAATACTTTTATTAACCAATTTAATGAAAAAATACATAGTAAAGTTTAGGAAAACATGGTTACATCACAATACGGGTACTCTTTCTCCCAATTCTATACGATTTAGCTCATACTTGAATAAAAAGAAACAACAAAGAAAGATAAAGACTCTATAGAACTAAGATAAAATAGACAGGGGCAATGCTATAGCTCTATTCTCATAGCAACTCCTTGCGCCGCCACTCTACACCATTTCTCAGCCATTGGAGTAGTGCATGGATCAACCAGATTTAGTGATCTCCCTATTGGACCCCAGCTTCACCCTTTGACCCGTTGGATCTCTCTCAACAAGCCCTCAAATCCTCTAAGTGTTCCACGACTTCTCAACTTTCTTTGGACGTCTGTACACTCTACTTTATATAGACAATGGTGACTTGGGTGCCAAGTATCTCTTCAAATTCAAATTCCCTATAAAATAGCTTCTGAAGAGGATAAATATTTATCCTTTAACTCGGTTTAATCCTTTTGTTAGCTGAATTTTGGAATTGGAAGTGATATATGCCTTATCCTTAACTTGCACAGCTTCTGTATCCTGATCTAGTGTTGTAGCTCCCTTATCTCTTTATTTGAATTTGAAATTCAAAATTTAGTTACTCCTTGTACCTTTAACACATCGTTTTACTTAAGCACGATTGCTACAGCACTGCTGCGTTTCTGATCTACAATAAAAACAACAAAGACAGTGAATTGTTCTAGCACTCTAAATAACATCAAATATCAACACTTAGCACATTTCTCATTCAAAACATAAAGAGACAAGATTAATGTTAATATCATGTAATTCTAAGGGAATTATGCATAATATAACACTAAATCATGTAAATAAAGCCTAAAAATAACTCTTCACAAGAGAGTTATCACTGGGTCAAGATAAATTTAGTATTGTTTAGGGTATTCGACAACCACCTATTAATTATAACAAAGTCCATAAGATTGATATACGTGGTAATCACTGCACAAATTGATATGAAAAGTATACCCAGTGACTACCATATTGGAGAAGAGGTCTAGATATCGCCGACTATAAAAATATATGACTTGGTTCTTCTCCAATTCAAGGCCATTTTGTCATCATCTCAAAGTATATAATACTCTATTGAGATATTCAAGTCTGATGAAATGTCCATGTAAGCGAGAGAATCCATTAACCTAATATCTTAAGATTTTAGATTGAAATATGATGTCAAATTCATTTAAATATCAAAACTTGGTCATTTGCTAGAGGTGGGTGGAGGTGGGTGGAGGGACTAGGTCACACCAAAAGGTTACCCACATTATTTTTGTTTTCCGGCCATTCAATTTTTTAGCATGTAGACAATGACGTTTGACACATTCAACAGATTCCCAATCCACAACTCAGGTTTGTGGTAGTATCAAGCATCAAGAAGTGCTTGAACCTCCTCTGATGCAACAAGAAGGTGCTTGGATGGATGTTGATCTAACCAACTTTCCTTTATTGCTATTGGGAATGAGTCTATTACAAATCTATTTAATGTGACCATTGGACCCTAAAATCGAATAATTAATATATGTATAACCTATAAACATTTGGCACTCCCTCATATTTCAATCAAACTAGTCGTAGTTAATCTATACTAGAATTAACATACGGGAAAAGTGTGTATCATTTTAAAAGATGTAAAATTGTGTCATTTTAAGTGAGAGAAAGAGATAGATAAAGGAGGAGAGAGAGTGGACAAAAAAATATAAATGTGTGGGTCCTACTTTCTTGTGAGAGTGAAAGGATATAAGTTATGTCATTTAAAAGGACAAACACTTTTCTCTTAACATATAGGAAGTTGTTACTCAACAAGATGTGGTTTCACATGTAGAGAAATAGTAAAGGTTGAGAAGAGCAATATATTTTTAGTGCTCCCATAGTAAATATTTTCTTATTTAAAATTAAAAAATTGAAACTCATGTGATATTGATTAAAAGAACTGTTAGAGTAAATAATATTAAGTGGGTTGTTTTTTTCATTTGTAGTAAATGATCATTTATGAAAATAATGGTAAAATGAATATGTTTTCATATAGATTTCCATTTCTTTACACCATGCATTTTATCCAAGTTTTTGATAATGTATCTTATATTTTTTTTCACTGATATTTATTTTTTGGTCAATCATTAACCTTTTATCACTTAAATAACTTATATAATTTATTTAAAATAAAAACATGTTAGAAAGTAAAAAAAAAATTAAGAAAAAAAACCTCCCAACTTCTATAAAAAATAATAATAATCCCAAACCGACTTCTCTATAAGAAATCATAAAAAAAAGAAAAAAGTTAAGTTGGCTTGGAATGAACCAACTTTCCAATGAGGAATGAGAAGTGGCATATTTTAGAAAATAGTGTTGAGGGTATTAAAAAATTTAAACATATAAGAAAAGCCTTCAAGAATTATAAAAAAGATTAAAATTCCTTAACCCACCAACAAAGGGACGAGGTAGTAGAACCCTGCAATGGAAACACTGAACAAGGAGCAATACCTCTCTGACAGACCCACCATCATCTCTGCTCCAGAGGCTCCTCCAAGTCCAAATACCCCATTGCAGAATCCACTGGAAAAGAAACATCAATCTCTTGAGGAAGAAGAGGAAGAAAGGGAGACAAAGGTGGATACTTTATTGGATCTAAATATATCTGACAATGATTCTGCTCCTGGTTGCAGTCTTGAAAGACAAGAACTCAATCTCATCACTTGTTTGGATGTTGATTCATCTAATGCTAATTCATCAGAAAACCCTCTTGTTTCTGTTGATGCAGAGCCACGAGTCTTCTCTTGCAACTACTGCCATAGAAAATTCTACAGTTCACAAGCTCTCGGGGGCCACCAAAATGCTCACAAGAGAGAAAGGTCCATAGCAAAAAGAGGGCACAGGTTTGGAACACAGATAATGGTTTCAGCAGCAGCTTTTGGGCTTCCTCTTCTGCATAACCACCGCTATGCAAGCATGGCTTCTCTACCCCTTTATGGTTCTTCAAGTAATAACCCTCTTGGAATTCAAGCACACTCCATGATCCACAAGCCTTCTCATATTTCCTCTAATGGGTTATTAGGAAGCTCTTATGGACATCATCATGGTTGGTCAAGACCCCTTATTGATCAACAACCAGCAATAGCAAAGCTAGCTGTGGCAGATTTTCACAGAACAACATCAGTGTTATCATCACGAGGTAGTGTTGGTAGGTTTGAAGGGGTAAATACTATGATGAATTCTGCAGCCAATAAAGAAATCAGTGGATATTTGGTTAGTGGTGGAACTCGTTTGAAGACTAGTAATCCAGAAGAAATGAAGCACCTTGATTTATCCCTCAAGCTCTGAAAATGGGCTTGGCTTTTAGTCTTTGCATCAATGGTTGGTACTTCTAGATTAGTGTGTTATGATTTTGCTAAACTTTTTTTTTTTTTTTTTTTTTCCGGACATGTGAAATAACATTTGTGTAAATTTGTTTATGGGAGGATCAAAGTTCTTTACCTGTTAATGACTTCAGAATCATTCGACTCTAATATGGTCAGGATGCCTTATAGAGTTGAAATTTGTAAGTTTGTTAAGTCCTTTTCTTCCCGAAATTTTTAACCCCTATTCTGTTCAATAGATATAAGTAAATCTAATGAGGGTTTCGAAGTTACTATAAATCTTGACAGTCTCAAGACAGAATCAGAATCTGCCACAACTGGTTCCATTTTCATAAATCAAATTTGCCCTGGCAAAATCATCCACAAAATGAAATTTAATCCGTAAAATAATGGAAACATAAAATCACCACTATGCCAGAGTATATCATGTCCCATGCTTATGTATAGAAATCTGTTCAGACTAATTTGTTTCCAAAATATGGTTCTGACCCAATAATTTGGAACACATTTATGATCCTTAATTTCTAAAACGCACTTAATTTCCAAAAACAAAACTAATACACAGCAAATTCAGAGCCAAAGGCCCTCCTATTGAAACGCACTTAATCTTTAGCCTATGAAATATGTAGTGCCACATAAAAATCTAAATATTCTTTAAAAATTATGTGGGGGTTATTCTGGATAATAAGATTCCGATATCATGTAGTAGAAGGGCAAGAACCAATGGCAAAGTGAGGTCATTAATAAATATTTAAATTTTCTCATTATAACAAAGACCAAAAATTTTCTCATTATAACAAAGACCAAACTGGTGGATTTGAAAAAATTCTAAAGTGATCCATTATTTTCGTAAGATGATCATTTGATAGTCCGGAGAAAAATCTTCTTTCTTTTGTATTCATATTTTTTTATTTTTTTGAGAAAGGAGCATTGTGAGTAAGTGGTGTTCGCGATCACCTAAATTCCTCTCCTGGATTGGGAGCTGGATAACATTATAAATATATAATATCTTATCAAGTAAATTAGGTTATTTCTTTGTCCACACATGGAACAGTAGAATAAGACTTGCCCTATTTTTTTGGTTTTAGTATAGGAAGGCATTTTTGTCCTATCTGCGGTTCATGCACTAGGTCACTGTCACCCAGTGGCCTCAAATCTAGTAGAGATTCGTCTGCTTTGTATCTGAAAGTATAATAATAGTAAATAACTAAATACCACCAAACCCCAAACGGCAAAGAAAATTAAGTGATGTAATCAGGCATATATATAAAGAATGAAAACATGTCTATAACTTCTTCTTAGTATGAAACGAGTTCAAACCTAAATTAGTTAGTTGGGATGTAAAATTAAGCCTAAGTCCAAAGTCTGCACATATCTCATCATAGTAAGGACAGAGACTTCACTTTTAAATAGTAATTAACAAACGTGGCTTATAGTCATCAAAACCTGCCGTCCCATTCGCACAGCTACAAACACACCAGATAGTACAAATTTATTTTCACATGGGTCTTTCCCAAGGATTTTTTTTTAGAGCTTTATTAGTCTCTTTTTACATAAGATAGTTATCTTATGTTTTAAAGAAAAAATAGGTAAGTTTTACCATTACAAAAAAAAAGAAAAAAAAAATAGGGTGCAAAAATCGAATTGAAAGAACATGCAAGAAATTGTCTTATGTAAAATGAAAGTAATATTTTCTTTTATTTTATTTTGCCCTTGTTTAATCTGCTTCTGTCACGACACGAAAATTATCATTATGATTTAAGTCCCTTTTACAAGCGGACATGACATAAAATTAATATCAACAAATTAAGCACAAGCAATTGCCAAGTGGATGAGGGAACCGTAGCCATCCTACTATTTTAATTAGACAAATCCTTTAAATCAGTTTTTTTGTGTCATCATTTCATTAATTTTTTTAAAGAAAATTATTATTGAATTCTCTTCGTAAAAGATCAAATTCGTGACATAAAAAGAAAATTTTGAAAATTATACCATAATTTTAAAGAATTAATTAGTAATAAAAGTATTTTAAAAATTAATATAGTGACACATTAATTTTAGATATCTGATTAAAAATTTAGTCAATCTATTTATACAGTATCTATTTAATACATGAAATTAAAACTTTTGAAAAAATTACTCTTTATTCCCTTTTATTTTAACCCATTTTATTTTTTTCATACATAAATTTTATTTTCAAATTCATAACCCCTAAATTATGGTAAAGAAATATCTTTATATTATCCGTCAAATTTAATGAAAGAATCTACACGCCAAAAATAAAATTAGTATTAATTTTATGAGACACATCAAATTTAAGTCTTAAAGTTTCTCACATATTTCTTATGTACAAATTGCCACCGTTAAATTTGAATGAAAACATAACATTAGTTTTTTTAACATAGTTTAATAAGTTCGAATTTATCCAAACTTTTTCCACCGTAACAGTACCTCCCTTCAATTAATTAACTCCTTTTCAACGCTCTAATGATCCTTTTTAACTCCTTGACCCACCCACAACAACAACAACAAAACGGGGTCTGATTGTTTAAGCTTTAAAAAAGAGTTTATGACATAACTTTATCTCAACAGCAATCATTTTTTTTATACAAAAAAAATTATTTTTTAGTTCAAAAAAGCAATAAAACAATTTTTTTTTTTTTTTTTCCAAAAACCTTACATAAATTATAAAAAAATTTGAACATAATTCTTAGTTAAAGAAGAATCTTTTCCTTTAAAAAAGAAGAAGACAGATAAGCCTTAATTTTCCTTTGGAGAACATAGCCACAGAGAAGTTATCATTCTGTCAAGTTAATTACCAGATTGACCATTGAGCATTGAGAAATTGGATATAAACATCAGATTTGGAAAATACAATCATAAGAAAGCAGTTGGGATTGTTGAGATGGTAAAGTGACCCATGGCATAAGTATAAGTTTCCAGAAAACGTAAGTTGAAATTCTTTACAAAAGAAAGAACAATCACTCCTCATGGAATTATTTATTAATGCAAAACCAGGGTGAAACAAATACTTAGGTTGTGTTTGGTATGCAATAAATATTTAAGAGAGAATTTTAACGGATTAGATGTTAATTAATGGAGTAAAATATTTTACCCTTTTAAAAATTACGGGTGTTTGGTACATAATCACAAACTGTTTTTGTTGGGTTTTCATGCTTGCCATTAGCTTTCTCACTCATTCCCACTTGACTCGTACCACAGCAAGGAGTGATGACTTACCCTTCTTCATGCACATGATAGGACAAAAAAAATTCTGGGAAAATTTTGAACTGCCTGGAAAATGCAGACAAATTCATTTTCTCTCCTCACTCACTCCCAACCTCTCATTTTCAAATCCACTCTCTTCTGTCCATTTCCATTTCCCCCTTCAGCCAGAGAATTGTCACTCTAGATCCCGTGCGGCACCACTTGTACCGAATAAACTATGTGCGAGCTTCTTCCACTGAATAAACTTTCCATGTCAACCATAGAGAGTACCAGAGTAAAAGAGGCCAGTGAGGTTGAGGGTAGTGACATTGGGTGGTGGAGGGGTTCAAAGAGAAAAGTGCATGGGCGAAGTCGTCATAAAATCTTGTGAAACTGAATTGCTCATTGAATTGAATGAATAATGCATATTACAGAAGCCTATTTATACATCAGCTATAGGAGCAAAGCTGTTATACACTTAAGCAGGAATTAACTAACACTAGTTAACTAACAATAATTAACTGAAAACTAACTACCCACTTAATTAGTAAAATAACGGTCTACCAATATTGCCTCTGGTACAATATTGGCTAATATCCCCCCTCAAGTTGGGAGTAATATATCCTTCAAACCCAACTTGGAAATTAAAGCTTGAAACTGAGGGATAGACAGTGCCTTTGTGAAGAAGTCTGCAAGTTGAAATGGGGAACGAATTGGAAGAAGGTGAATGAGTCCATCTTGAATGCGTTCCCTAATGACATGACAGTCAATGTCAATATGCTTACTTCTTTCGTGGAATGTGGGATTGTGAGCAAGGTAGATAACTGATTGACTGTCACAAAAGACAGCAATGGATTTGGTGAGCGGAAGCTGTAAATCACGAAGGAGAAAGGAAAGCCATTGAAGTTCATAAGCTAGATTTGCACGAGCACGGTATTCTGCCTCAGAAGATGATCTGGATACAGTTGTTTGCTTCTTAGTCTTCCATGAAAAGAGAGAAGAACCTAAGAAAACACACATACCAGAAACATAACGTCTTGTATCAATGCAACATGCCCAATCAGCATCAGCAAAACCAGATGGTGCGAGGTCATTTTTCGAGGGAAAGAACAGCCCTTTTGATGGAGATCCCTTAAGATATCTCAGAATGCGAGTAGCAGCCTGATAATGAGCCTCCATAGGCTGAGATACGAACTGAGTGAGTTGTTGAACAGCAAAATTTATGTCAGGTCGTGTATTGGTGAGATATAGTAATCTACCAACCAATCTTCTATAAGCAGAAATATCTGAATAAGGGTGACCCTAGTCCTTTTGTAACTTGATCGAAGGATCCATAGGAGTAGAGGCTGGTTTAGAAGCAAGAAGACCAGCATCAGCAATAAGTTCCAGGGTGTACTTCCTTTGATTGATTACCAATCCTGATGAAGATCGAGCAACTTCAAAACCAAGAAAAAATCTGAGATGACCCAAGTCTTTTATGCGAAATGCAGCATCAAGGTGGTGTTTTACTCGAAGGATTTCAGCTGCATCATTGCCAGTGAGAACAATGTCATCCACATAGATCAATAGTGCAGTGAAGGAAGTAGAAGATAATCTAATTAACAGAGAGGGGTCTGCTGTGGATTGCTGATAGCCAAGGACATGCAAAGATGAAAGCAGTTTGGCATTCCACTGTCGACTAGCCTGTTTAAGGCCATATAGTGACTTGTTGAGCTTACAAACATGATTAGGCTTGCTGTTAGGAACACCTGGAGGGAGCTGCATATAGACATCCTCATCTAAATCACCATGGAGGAATGCATTATTTACATCAAGTTGTTCTAAGCACCATCCTTTGGCTACAGCTATGGATAACAGTA